TTCCCTGCTTTTCCTTTGCAGGTCTGGGGTGCAAAGTTGAGCATGTGTTGCTGCAAAGTTTTGGCGTTTGGCAGCTTGATGGCAAAAGTGTTATGCCATAAATACATCCAATCTGTGTTGCTGGAGGCACTGCTTGAAAAATAACGGCGCAACGTTTGTAAATGTTTCTAAGTCCAGGTAGGGTTTGGAAGGAGGAGTTTTTGAGGGAAACCAACCCAATGTTTCCAGTTTGGGCAAGTGTCCTGCTCTGACACTTGGAGTATTCAGTCATCGACAAGAATTATTCTTCTTGGAGCACCATCCAAAAATTATTACGGCATTTGCCTTTTTAGCATGATTTTGGATGACTGATAACAGTGGAGTGACTTGCAGGCATTTTGAGGAGCATCTCAGCATCCTCTCTGTGCATCTGGAGGCAGCACCGAAACATTGCTGTTGGCAAGCCAGTAAATATTTCTGAACAGTGAAATGCAGAAGAAAGAGACCGGGAGGGCGGCGTTTCTCCAGGGATCATCTCACTGGCCACGTTTCTAGCTCCAGGTCAACTGGAGGCTGACTCAAGTCCTTGTTCACAGTCTGGTTTGCTCACATGATTCTCATTAAATGGATGTGTTTAGGCTAAAAATGAGGAGTTTTAGAAAGATGCTTTTTATCTGCATTTATAGATGCTTCAGGTCATTAGCAGGAAGCTTTTAAATTTAACAACCCTGCTTGCTTCGTGTCTGTCGGAGTGAGCTCGGAAAAGAACGTGCTGACTTCTCGTGGCCTTTGGTTTTGGTGTCTCATGCAGTAGCCCAGCAGTACCTGGTTTTATTTTGGGGTTATAAACTCTATGTGACTTCCCCCCGCCCGGTAAATAAACCAAATTAGTTCTGCTTTCATCATGTGCCCTAGGAGCATTTTAGGAGGAAAGAGGAGAAACCTTAAGGATTGGTTTCACACTCTGCTTCTCTCCGGAGCCTGGCAATATCATAAAGGTTGGCCATATACTCTGGGAAAGAGGGATTTATAGGAAGGGGGTGAATATAAAACGAGGTGGGAGGTGGGCGGTGGCTCAGTGGTATTTGGGACGTGTGGTGGGAAAGGGCTAGTGAGCGGTGCAATGCGATGCTCTCCTTGGTGTGCCTGCAGCTGGGCGGGCGCAGAGGTGGGCAGAGAGCTCGCAGAGAGGAGCGTGAACCACACCTCGCATCTCCGTCCCGGGACTGCGTGCCGGCAGGTCGCTGTTCCCGCCTGTTAGCTCACGGTTTGGTGATTATTCCCATATTCTGAGCAAATGCGTTTCTGTCCCATGATGGTCATTGGGCAGCTGGCACCAAGTGGTGGATAGGTGCAATTAGTGCTGTTTTGATTGAAAAATTTGGGTCCTTTAGCAACGTCTCCCTTCCCTGCCTGGGTGGTAGAAACACCCCTCTAGCGTGCTGCATTTCTGTAGAGAGGGAGGAAAGGCAGGGGTTTGTCTCCTCCTGCTCTTGCCAATGAACCCACCTGCTGGAAGAGGTGTCTATGTGCGTGACTGATGTCATATGCCTACATCAATACGTTGTTATTCATCTGAACATCCAATGCATGCATGGATCTGATGGGAAGAGTCCGCACGTGGGTGTTAAGTCGTATGAAAGTTGGACCGAATGTATGAGAATAGTAATTTGCAATATTATATTAATATGCTTATGAGATTTTAAAATTAATAGTAGTTTCCTAGGGCTTCAGTATCCCCCCACTTTGTTCATGAAAGCAAAGCCTAGAAATTTTGGGGGTTTTTTGAAAGCAGGCTTAAGTAAATGAAGACACAAACTTCATGCCGTGGAGGTGTTGCGGATGCAGGTTTCATAGCAATTCCAGCCCCACCACCCCAGTTATTCCAGCTGCATTGAAAGGGCAGGAAAATGTGGATTTTCAGTGTGCATTCATCTCCGCTCCCCCTTCCATAGATCATCCTGCAAACGGGGGGGGGG